CTTGTGTCCAGCAGAAAAACTTTAGAACATTTGCATATTCAGAGATTCTGGAATTTGTGAATGAGATAGAATGAGTAGAAAATGTATTAGAAACATCAGACACACATTATTGTTCTAACTATTAACTAATATATGTTCCAGACTATTAAAATATGTATCTTAATACATGTCTGGAGGGGATCTTTCAGTTATAAACAGCCCAATATAAAAGTATTATTATAAAGGATTATTCAACACCACATTTCGAGTTGAACTAAATCATTTGCTGTACAAGCTGTTTCTCACGGCATGTAAACAGATGCTGTTCTTTACCAGCAGTGGATTGCTGACATTTCTGCCTATAAAGCCCTGGGGAACTGGAGCTGTCATTGATAAATATGCTGCACAGCTCCTCAAGTTCCTATCCAAACAAGTCTACAGAAAGTGAGTCGCAAAGGAAGTCAAGTATGAAAGAAATTCTATCACTTCTCCTTTTTGTTCAGCAAAACAGCTCAGTATGTCATGCTTGTATTCCTGTCTGTGTTGTAATGTCCTCAGATGTACTGAAATCCACAGCCTGTGACCTGAGAATCAGCGGTAATGAAATGATGCAGATATAAAACTGCTGAATGAGCAATTAGCAAAGCTCCTTTCACTTACTTAGCTACTATTAGAATGAGCGGATTTCTATCTGCATCCTGACAAATGATCCAGTTTCTATCTTAAGGTGTTTTCAGGTAATTCATAGCTGTCACTGGTGATGCAAGAACAAGATATGAAAAGACTTGTCACACTAACCAAGTGCTAATCTGTAAAGGCTTTACACTTCCAGTATTTACTTATTTCACATGCAACATGCAACATAGACTACATGATTTACTCTATCTCCAAAATTGCCTCAATAAAGTTGACAATCCAACTGCCCCAGGAACTCCAGGTTGAGTGCATGTCAATTAGTTGCAATATTATGTAATCAAATGCAGTTCTTCTTCTTTGGAATTTGCACAATAAGTCTAAGCCATCTATCTTGTGTAAGTCCTTCTCTCGACACTCTGTGACTTCCCTGTGTGAGTGTCTTACGCTGAAGCCATAAATATATAGTTTGAATGTGTTTTAAATTGTAGTTTTTAGCAAACATTAGGAGGAAATAATGCTTTTTTGGGGGACTATTTTCAGCGGTAGATTAATATACATAGTGGTGTAGTGGGCCATTTTCAGCATGTGGGAGTAAGTCTAAATAGACCACAATGTGTGTGTGTGTGTTCATGGTAATGAAGGAACATGTCACCCAGTACAACAGTGTGGCTCATTGATGTGTTTTTACTAGTTTTTGGACAACAATGGAGCTCTGTGGCACAGGAGAACGAAGAAGAAGATATATTTAAGGCTTTGATACACTCACTATACTTGTTAGTAGCATGCAGTAGTATGCATTCATTATTGGTTCTGCTCTTTAATTGGGAATTTCTGGCAATAAGAAAGATACAGAATATTGCCAGCCTCATCCTAGAATGATTTGAGTTTATTTTGTGCTGACAATGTGTATCATATATTCTTTTTTGCCTACAAATTAACTGACAACAGCAAATCCAGTGGAGCTGTTTCACACAGGTTTGCACAGGTTGGCTTAGTTAAAGTTTAGCCTTCTATGAGCACTATACTTATTATGGAAACTTCAAGGCAACATAATACATACACACTGCACAGAGGGCTTGAAGTGTGTGTTTGGTTGGTGGCCAAATACATATTTTAGCCCTGGGGAACAAGCTAATCTGCACATGTCAAGTTTTTGGGTTATTTTGTGTCGTGTTCATTTTTAAAACTTTTCATTTATTGCTGCCTGATGATAAAGGTCTGCTGCGTCTCACAGTCTCTCTGGCCTACTGTCTCTGTCCAGATGAGCGCTGTGGGGATCACGGAGAACGTCAAAGGTGACTGCAAGAAGTTTGAAGTGTGGTACAACGGCAGAGAGGAGGTTTACATCATCCAGGTACGTTGATGCAAACCTTTCCTCAGTGCTTTGTGTTGAGCTTCATCCCCTAAACACTGTTAAAAGTAACTAATTAGATTTACTCAAGAGATATTCTTAGGTTCAAATATTATACTTGTACTTGAGCATATCCATTTTATTCTGCTTTATACTTCCACCCCATTACATTTCTTTGTCAGATGCAGTTACTTTACATGGCTTACAGATTTTAGCTTATGAAATTGAATGCATTGTTAAGCTTAAACCAGTGGTTCCTAAACATTTGGAATGCATAAACAGTATCGGGTTAGAGCCAAAAGGATATTTCTCACATGGTGTCATTTCACCAACTGTTTGAAGCCAAATTTTGGTATTTCAGAACAAAACAGCAAATATTAGGTCATCTGATGACCCATCAGATTTATCTGGTGACCCTTTGGAGGGGCCCAATGTAAGTAGATAAAATAGCTAACAGTAAAATGCTGCATTGATGTATCATTATTAAAAGTCTAATAATTTAATATAGTCATACGTCAGTCACATACTGTAGAATGAGTACTTTCACTTTTGATACCTACAGTACATTTTGCTCATAATGCTTCTGTACTTAACACATATGGAAGAGTTGTAAAATTGCATGTCTTATACTGTGTCTATGTCATTCAGTTTTTAATGTAATACTCTTGCCTTGTCAGGGAGAATATATTTATTTTATATTTGCAAATGGAACAGAACAAGCTTAATTTGAACACCTGCTGATGTAAATTAACACAGATATTTAAATTATGTATCTAATCATAAATATTTTGTGTGCAAGTGTAAGTGTGTTTTAACAGTTTTATGGTATCAATGAAAATATCATAAAACTGAAAAAATACACTTAAAAAAAGTTCCAGTTAATATTTCATTTTGTCATAGACACTGCACGGGAGGCTTCCAGTGATCTTTCCCAAAATCCTCCCCTTGGGGGCAGTGTTGCACCACACAGCTCCCCCACTGAACACTTTAATACTCAGAAAAACAGCATTAGTGTTAAGAGGCTTTTGTTGTACGTGTTGCTTGATGTATGTGTGTGCGTATTCTTCCCCAGGCTCCTTCCATGGATGTGAAAAATATGTGGGTGTCAGAGATTCGTAAAGTTCTCACAGGCCAGCTAGAGGCATGCAGAGGTATGTACGCACAGACACACACACACACACAAACGTACTTATGCACTTGAGAATATCTCCTTCCTTGTGTATTTTCACCAGTTTCAACTTGCAGCTAGAGGACAGGCACGTGTCTGCACTGTATGAATCCATACATCTATTAGACAGTACACAGGTAACATCATACATACTTACACAGGAACAATGAATTTCTAATCACACATGTTGCTATTGCTGCTATTTCATTGCATCTCCACAGTTCTGGAGTCCGCGCATTTTCCGATACTGTACATCTCAGGCACATGTCTATAAAGAATTTTCTAATTAGTATTTTTCATGTACTATTTGATTTTCTATTCCATTTTTCCCATGCTGTGGCTCTATAATTTTTTTCCCCTGCTGCCACAACTCAATTTCTCTCTGTTATCATGAAGAATTTCTTGTCAACACTGGTATCTATCAGCACATCTTGGAGTCATCCTTTGCTGCAATCTGGAGATAGGCTTGTCACTCTCTTGTACTGACTTCCAAGTCAGTGAAATGTCCTCTTTCTCATACCAAACTGCAGACAGAAACAATTTAATTACAACATACAATCACAGTCCACTGCTGATGTGCACATAAACAGTACATTGCATATACAGTGGTCAACCCAGTCACTTGGAAATGACATTTATATAGTCGGAATTTGTTTTCCAAATCATGTTGTGGTGAGAACCGTACGGAATTTAGAAAAGCCTGTTGTTATGCCATAAACATAGGAAAGAAAACAATTTAGATCAGACTTTTCTGACTTGGATGTCAGGGTTTTTGTAGAAATGTTATTGCTGCCTGGTTTATGTCCACAGGCAACATTTTTCCAGTGACTAAAGTGTAAGGACTAACCATAAAAAAAGTTTAATAATGCTGTAGTCGCCATGAGTGGATACTGGAAACTGGATGTTTTGGCGCAAAACAAATGAAATATACAGTATGTCAGTGAACTTCCTACTGATACCTTCAATATCAACATTTTGTGTTATGTTACTTTTTCCTTATTATGCTGATTTAACAAACACTAATTAAGTATAATACAGGCTGCATTACGTTGCTGACAAAAAGTTTGTTTCTCTTTCAAATTTGTTGTAAACATAATTGGAGACAGGGTTGCATATAGCAGAACCTACTGTACTCAGGAAATACAGGATTGTGGTTCCTCCAAAGAATGCCAAACTCTGAATGAAATCATCTAAAACCTAAAATAAATCTTCTGCTAGCAAAAGCCCATAAAAAAAGTCAAATGAAATAGTAATACATGTGTGCCTGTGCTGAAATAATTCATTTATTAAAGCATAATTTCAATAATTAACAGAAAATGTACACACAAAACCTTATAGCACCTCCTGACATAAAGAAATGTTTCAAATTAAAAAAGCAAGGATATTCTGATGTTTAGTATGGGTCAAGCTTCAAAAACACAGTATCCTACATTTCCCATAATGAAACTTCATTCCTTCCTTTCCTTGTATGCTTACATCTAGCAAACTTCATATCCAGTTTGTAACAGGTAGGATACACGTAAACATATATTATATTATACAGTGTAAATATAATTACATTTCACAAAAAATGGTTTAAATTGATTACATCGAAAATATAAGTAAGTAAAATTAACTTGAGGTGCTAAAAAAACATTCTTGATCAAGTAGCAAGTTAGTGTCAGTTAAAATGACTAATAAAATCTGCTTAATCAATAATCTTTTTTTTAACTTACTTAAAATATTCCTATGTAATCCATTTCAACAATCACATAACAGTGTATATAATGCAACAATGCATAATTGAGTCATCATTTAAGTCATTTATTTGTACTGTTAATTGGCCAACATGACTTCAGGCTCTGGGAACCAAAAAAATAATATATTTTTTTTACACAATTTTCTTAAATTAAACAATTAATAAATTAGAAAACAATGTTATTAATAACAGTGTAGTCTAGAGTAAAGAACAAAGAAACGTAAATCCTCAAACATATATGAATTTACACACACAGCAACACACACCCTCTCTGTACCAGTAAGCATCAGTTGTCCACAGTTCCACTCTGTGGTCCTGACTGACAGGAAAACCACCATCTGTGAGCCGCACACTCTGCCCGTCTGACAACCCGTGTGTGTGTGTGTGTG